CTCGGGCAGCGAGGCAATCCAGGCGCGCCTGGGCTGCCCCGCTGCCCGAGCCCCTCCGCGGCTTTGCTCCGCATCTTCCTGGTATGCAGACCAGGGAGACACCGAGAAAGCCCCGGAATACACGGGCAGCAGGACTGCGAGGTCCCGCAGTCCGTGTACTCTGGGGCAGCCCCATTCGTAACTGCGGATCCGACATAAGTCGGATCCGCGTAAGTCGGAGACTGCCTGTAAAAGTTTTCCAGTGTGTCCTACCTTGAAGCCTGAGACGGCTTGACCTGCAGAATCAATCGCCCATTGTCTTGGAAGAAGTCTTCTAGTTCCTCCTTGAAGGATTCCTGGTTGCTTTCCAATTTTGCCTGGTACAGCAAGCCCAGTTCTAAAAGAGACTGTCTGTTTTTCATTTTGAGTTCCTGCAGTGTGTCATAATATCCCTCAGTTGAGCCTGAGGCAGTTGCCATATCCTTGTCTGGCTGGAGGAAATCCAGCAGCTCATCTGTCTTGGGCCTAGTGGTGCCACCACCAATACTCTCTGTTTCTGGCTCAGAATCTGAAGAACCTTGAGGTGGAAACACCTAGGGAGATAAAAGCTTGATGTTGAGAAAAAAATTAAACTTATACCAATGTCTTGAGTTCACAAAGGCAACTCCCACACAACCTATGCCTAATCTGATGCCATCTACATCTTAGCCAGCTACAAAGTACATTTTCACAGGTGCAGGAAGGCAGAAAATCTACTATATATTTTACAGAGTGTGTCTGATCTAGAATTCCTCCTAAATGGTAAGGGCTAGGACCACTAAATTCAGTATGTAGCTTCCTCTTATCATAACTTAAAGCAAAGTAAGGGTTTGGTTGTGCCAGGAAAACAAGATGCACCTGAAATGGGATTGCTTCTCAGAAAACCAAACCAAAAAGAGACAGAATCACCAAATCAAATACAGTCCTCAAAACTGACATAATTGAGTGAATGTTGAAAGAGACCGAACCCAAGACGAGCCAGAAAAACAGGATGAACCTGGAATAGGATTCTTAATAAACCTTTTAGAAAAGAGAAATTTGGAGTAGTGCTCTATTTTGACAGCTAAATCAATGCTTATGGTTTGAAAACTAGAAGACAATGTCTTTTTTATTAAAACACAGTGAATTGTAAGCATTTATAGGGATGAAGAAAAAATATACACTTGATGGAATTCCCATTTTAATAAATTACTAAAATTAACTTCATAAAAATAACACTGAATTTTTGAAAAATACAATCATTTCAATAATGCATGTTCATTTTCCTTTTATTTCAAAAAATGAATTAAGGACCTGAGCAACACTGGGTAAATCTTCTAGTACAACATAAAAGAGCCGATCTATAGTCTACAAAAAGCAGACTACTCAATGCCTCACTAGCTCTCTCTGTCATGGAAGGATCTTGCTGCTGGGCCTGTTTCAGTTTACACACTATAATCTGTGAAACTTGATCCTTTATGCTGTCCTCCCCAGCTTGAGTTGTGTCCAGCACTTTTTGGATACAGCTGTGAATCTTGCCTGTAGAACATCAATAGCAAAAATCCTCCCTTTTATAGTGATGGGAGCAATACTGAGCATCTAACTCTCACTGAAGCCAATGGCAGCAGGATACATTAACAGCTTTGCTTAATTACAATCTGCTTTTTCTCCAAATAATGCCAGGTTGGGAATTTTGAGATTTATCAATTTGGGAAATTTGGAGAGTTGTGAACAAGCATTTCTGAGCTAATGGGAGACAAAGAAAAGTCCAAATTTCAAGCCAGGATAATTTTTCAATAACCTGTAACACAAATATCCCTCTTCAACCTCTGGGCAGAATGTGACAGTTGTCAGCCCATGTTCCTTTTCGATGCTATATTTGTTGGGATATAAAATAGATTTTTATAATGAAAGCTGGCTGCAGTCTTTCCTGGGCAGAGGCTGCAGCCCCCTCTGCCCAGCCTTTTCCCCCATTCTGGCACTTGGAGTGCAGAAGATGGGGACCCACAAAAGACTTTAATATACCCTGCCATTAAAGATTTCTGTTTAAAAATGCCCCACATTCACAGATTCCCTGACCTTGGATGGTACACTTCTACCATCCAAATGCACAAACCTTTTTGAGAACCCAGGAAGACACATTTGGGAATTTCTTCCTGTGGGGTGCCTTCAAGCTCTTTAACCCCCACTTTGGAGAGCACTTAGCCCCGCCCTATAATTTTTTAATAGTTGACCTAACAGTTTAAGGCATGTGCACATAGAACTATCTGCCTTTTAGGACACCAGAATCAAATCATGGTCTTAAAAGGATGATTTTTTAAATTTACAAAATATAGAAAACATACTTGGTAAAATACACTTTGCTGCTTTATATCATAGAGCAACTGAAAAAAAGATTAAAAACACAGAGAATTGCTTCCCTGGGATTCAGTTTAAAAGTTACAGTGTATGGGAGGGGTCACATGGGTTCAACACAGATAAGTCCAACAAAATCAATAATAATAATAATAATTAATAAAAAAACCTTGATCACATCTGACTAAGCATTCCCTGTTCTACTCGCATATTCAGTCTTCCAAGTCCTTCCTTAAGCATGGATATCACTGGATATTTCCAGCCTTGTTCCTGGCTCAGTCCATGTCTTCCAGCTCTACCTTGGTCACACAAAGACTGCAGCAGGAAGATTACTATTTCCCATTCAAAAAAACATACAGGCTGTGTGTCTACATTGTCGCGATCTTGCGCAAAAGCTGCCTGTCTACACTGGCCACAAGTTCTTGTGCAAGAACACTGATGTTCTAATGTACGAAATCAGTGCTTCTTGAGCAAGAACTCTGATGCTCCTGCTCAGGAATAAGCCCTCTTTCGCAACTGTTCTTGCGCAAGAGGCCAGTGTAGACAGGCAACATGAAGTTCTTGCACAAGAAAGCCCTATGGTTAAAATGACCATCAGAGCTTTCTTGTGCAAGAGAGCATCTACACTGGCATGGATGCTCTTGCACAAAAGCACATGCCAGTGTAAACGCTCTCTTCTGGAAGAGTTTTTACACAAGAACTCTTTCGCAAAAGAGTTTTTGCGCAAGATCATGCCAGTGCAGACATAGCCACACTGTTTTCATTGGCTTTCCCCCAAAACTTCCTGAAGCCTCTCTAGGACCTGTCTGTGGGTTTGAGGCTTACAGGCAATTTAGTTAACTGAATGGCTGGGATGTCCAGAAAAGGTTAGTACAGGCAGTCCCCGAGTTACGCGGATCTGACTTATGTCGGATCCGCAGATATGAACGGGGCTTTTCTTGCCCCGGAGGAAGCGAGCGGCGGGACACCCAGATGCGCCGCGGTCCCACCGCCCTCCGGGGCGAGAAAAGCTGCTCCGCATCTGTGACGTAGTGGGGGTACTTGCTGGGCTGTGGTGACCTCTTCTGTCTGAAGCAAGACCCAGCAGGGAAAACCTTATTATGCAAAGGTGACTCCATACCGGTTGAACCAACCCCCCATGGGGAGAAACAAAGGGAGGTGGAATGCTGCCCAGGCTGGGGGCAGGGCTTGGAGAGGTGGAGTTAGTGCCTGGCTGGAAAGCAGGGGAGAAGGAACTGGGGAAGGAGCTGGGATTCCCCTATCTCAAGGGGGGCACTGAGGCCTCTTAGCCCCCAGTTCCTGTAACTAGATTACATCTGTTCTGTGCTGTATCGTGAAGAAGCAATAAACCACCTGTATTCTACTGGCTGGTGAAGTCTGTTCGTGCCATTTCAGGGTGCAGGAGACGGGGGACCCCCAACGCGCTGTCACAGCATCTCCCTGGTCTGCTGAGGGGGGGGCAGCAGACCAGGGAGATGCAGAGCAAAGCCGCAGAGGACCCAGGCAGCGGGGCAGCGGGGCAGCCCAGCC